CAATGTGCAGAATGTGTATTAATTTGTTAATTATATTACATGTGTTACACACATATACGTAATTTCTTTTCCATACATAAGACACGTTGAAAACTGCATCGCGATTCCTTAAATCTAAAATTCGGCTGAAAGAGCTGAGCCAAGTGGAACACTGAACTGCCTTATCGGAATATCATTCAGTGCCCGCTTAATTCGATAATGCCGTCAATTCCATCATCATTAGTCATCATTATGCGGTTATTGTGAATTGAAATGGACAATTGTCAGGAGGGAGATTCAAAGCTTCTTTTAGCTTCCTCAAAACGAATTCCGCGCGATGACGGGGATAATAAGGACTCGTTAGTCCTGTGGAATCAGCGACATACCGGTACGAAAAGTCGCCTCGTTTGCCGACTTTTTCCCACCTTGATTGCGTTCGTTTCAGCTCCCACTCTCTTACGAACGTTTAATAAAATGGGACTCTACGACGCGACAAAATTATGTAAATTACAAATAACAGAGAAACAAGTAATTATAGCTATATTATAGTCATCAATTTATTATGATCGTAAATCAATATAAATTAATCAATAACAAAATAGAGCTGCAAATTTCTAGATTTCGGATATAAGTTTAATTTTAGCTTGATATAAATTCATTCTCACTCGGAATTCTAAGAGTCTAGCGATTCATATAAATGGAAAAAATTGCTACTTTTATAAAACGAGAGACTTTTTAGTTATAGAATTAATGTCACGTTAGAAGCACAGTAAAATGTGAGACGGCTGAAATCGAGTCAGCTCGACCTCGAAACACGCTCGGAATAAAAATTAACGATGCTTGAGAAATCGTTCAGAAATCGCAACTTTCTAGAAAGGAGACGCGAACTTCGCAAACAAACGTAAATCGCGCGCGGCTTCGCGTTTCAGAGATCAAGTTTCCCCTGGTAGTTAAGATCCATCACTTATCGGCGCGCTCTCGCACGCAAAAATCACGGCGACCCAGAGGGGTGCCAAGATTTACGAGGAGCTGTTGGTTCGTGCTCGTCGTCTTTGAATCTCCGCGGAGGCGATAGCCGAGGCTCGTTTCTCTCCATCCGAGCTTAAAAGTATTTCCTTGTTGTTCTCGCCGCTCATTTGAACTAATAACTCGCGCACTATCCCCCGCGGCGTGAGTGTGCGCGGCCTTGAGCACCGGCTACTTACAGGTGACCCGAGCCACCCCCGGCGCCGCCAGCTTTTCCCACAGTTTTCCAGGGGTGGAAACTTTCGAATTTAATTCAGTTACTGTCGTCTACTTTGACACGCTCTGAGGCTTTTAAGCGGGATAAAGAAGTGGCGGGAAGGTAACCAAAGTCTCTCCGTGAGAGACTTTCCGAAATATTTGCAAATTATCAAAAAGATCGCCTCACATTGTTCTAGTGTTCCTAGAAGATAGAGTAGAAGGTAGATTCAGCTCGCAAGCTTCTCAAAATAGTGGAATCGGTCACAGTGCTTCATTAGTTCCGATCCACAATAGGTGTAGTAAGTTTTAAGCCTTAAGAATTGACCAATTACAGTCAAATTTGAGGAGAATAATCGACTGTGATTGTCAATTTCTTAAGACTTAAAGCTTACTACACCTATTGTGCCTCGGGACGTATATTGTGTGCCTACAGAAGCAACTCATTTACGATTTTCACTCTTTTGGAAAAAGAGGATATAATCATCAACACTATTATTTTATGTTCAATAAGTTGCTATTGATTATGTTAACCTTTATATTACAGCGTTTTGTGATGAATTCGAAACACCGAAGTTTATTATAATCATGCAGAAAAATGACGAAGAAAGTAACTTGAAGTACGTTTTACTTGATACTCGCAACGCACTTCGCCGGCATGAGTCATCCCAACACACGAATATGCCGTTTTGAGGGACAAGTGGCCAAACTCTAGCTTCTAGGGATTTTAGCGCCGCCCGGTTAATTGGATATTAATAACAGTATCGGGTCAGTAAATGTTTAGTGTTACGGAGAGCATATAGCGTCACATCTAAGCACAATGTATTTTCGAAGGTACATCATTGCCAGGTCCTGCTGAAAAGCTCGCTCCCACACTCGGAAAATCAGCCGGTGAAACGCGGCTTCGATGAAAGTCGATTTCCGCCGCTATTTCCGTAGCTTTAATATTAATTATTAGCTGCGCCGAGGATTGCCGCGGATAAAATCATTTATTAATGGGCAAATAATACGACCACGTACACCAATGGCAGCTCCATTATGGAATCGCTGCGTGTGTAGGTTCCCAATGTAACCGGATAATGGCGTTTCGCCTAAATAAATCTCTCGCTTGACTTTGCCCGCGTAAATAACCGATAATTAACAACAACCGCCGACAGATATCCCGCGTTATTATCATGTAATTTTTATATAAATTTATTTTTCACTTCAATTTGATAGCCTGGAGGAAGAGAGAGAGAGAGAGCATGTAATTGTTTAACATAACATAAAAAGATAGTCGAACATTTCGAGCAAATATTTCAGCAAAACACCGTCGTTACTTCGCTGGCTTTCGCTGAAAGTATATTTCGCTGAAGGATCACTCTCCTCTGTTGGATGTTACTGTGCAACTTCCTATTTCTATATTTGTTAACTCTTATTTTTATATTTGTTGAGGTCTCACTCGGATTTATTGTGTCCTATTTAAAATTATTAAGTTTAATTACCTTTGCAATTGGCCTCAGTTTTCTCTTTTAATACCGCCTGAAATTATCTCAACCTTAGCACATCGAAAGTTAATTAGCTCCGGCTTGTAGCCCTTCAATCCTCTTCTTTAATCCTTTCACAGCCATATTTCTGCGCCAGGAACTTGTCCGCCTCGGCTAACTAATTTTAGTATAAAATTTGAAATTTAATTTTAGAATTTCAAGTCAATTTAAGGGCCCCGAACACCGACTAACTCAATTTATCAGAATTTATTACGGATGTTCCACATTTTCGGCCAAGTTCGCTTTTTAAAATGGAATTACGGGGCAAAACCTATATACATAAAGTCAGTCGCAGTCTTAATTAATCTAATCGAGTTTATCTGGAATCGTAATAAGTCTCATTAAGGCCGAAAGGGTCCCGGCAAACTTTCCACCTTGCGGCATGGCGCGCTTCATCAATCCGATAGACACCAATGGCGTCCATCACCGTGAATAAATAACGACAAAGCAGTCGTAGAGCCCTTAAAGAATTGAAGCTCAATGGAGAATGCCGAACAATAAGAACGGATCGCCCGATCGCGGAATACGTTTAGATATACCTTCACGCGGAGAGGGCGCGCCCGGAGGTGGTCTAGGATGCGGCGGGCGGATGCCGGGGATGAGGAAGTGGCAAGGGCAACGGTAGAAATAAAAGTCGAAAGCCTGAGCGAGCGAGACGAGGCTGCGAGGGAAATAAAAAGGAATTGTCACCGTCCGGGTGGCTGCAACCATCCTTGTAACCGCGCCGCCTGCGGCTGTTTTCTCTCCGCGCCCTCCCCCCGCCTCTATCCCCCCTCCCAACCGTCACCCCCGTCGCGCTCTTTACAACCACTGTCATTTGTTTTTACGTTTACTCCTCGTTGTTCTTGAAAACCCTACGCGAGAGACCCGTCGTGCTACGAGATTTCGCCGAGAAAACGGAAGAAACGAGACTCCCGCGCGGAACGAACTATGAAGCTTCTTAGGCGCTCGAGGAATCCGCAATTTTTTACCGCATGAATATTCATTAACGTAAAGTTAGAGTTTTAATCGTAACCGTTACGTCCGCCTTAAGAGAGATATCTATACCGTCTAATGGCATGCAGTGCAGCTGCACCCACACCGTCTCACGTGACGTAAAAGTAAAAGTGCACTAAGTACCAAGAGCTCTAATAACACTGGCATCTAACCTCTGGACGTTCCTATTATTTCGGTTTTTAAATTAGGATAGTTACGAACTTACGAGGTAGAATACATGTAACACAATGCCCGCGACAATTCATTGCGATTGTCCGCGATAATGCGCCAATCTTTTTTAATTAATATCTAAAAGTCTACGTGGTTATTTGCAAAATGCTGGAGGATTTCTGTGCTGAGTTTAACGTATTCTACAAGCACACAACAGCAGACTTTGCTATCATAACTCATTTACCGCATAGCGCGCGATATCATCCACCAATCTTTTCTGAATCACGCAATCAATTACTCTAAATTTTACGTGGTTATTTACGAGGTGGAGTTTTTTGTTTGATAAGTTCTATACTTGTACACACCGCGGCTGCACAACGAACATATCAGACATGTTGTATATTCAATATGTATATTTATACAGGGTGTCCCGCGTAAGACGAACCAAAAGAAAAATATAAGTAGAACACATAAAAGTGAACAAAAATTATATAAGCCATTTTTCAAACAACCACGTAAAATTTCGAGATATTAACTAAAATAGTTGAGCATATCAGAGCGCGGCGACACGGCAGGCAGGATATACGGCTCGCCGCGGCCGGCGAAGAAAATGGATTATTGCTCGCGGGCCTATCTTATAGGCCAGAGAGGGTTTGGCATACTGAAATGAGTAGCTCTGTATGTACATGTGCGTTCTTCCATTTTCTTCGCCGACCGCTACGAGCCGCCTATCGCGTCGCACATTCTAATTTGTCCAACTATTTTAATTAATATCTCGAAATTTTATGTGGTTGTTTGAAAAATGATCTATACAATTTTTGTCTACTTTTATGTGTTCTACTTATATTTTTCTTTTGGTCCGTCTTATATGGAACACCCTGTATATTCTATGCAAGTTAAAATTCTATGCAAGTTTAAATATTCACATTTTTAGACATTTATTTTAGACATTTTAGACATTTTAAAGACCAAAACAATAAGAATATTCAGAGTTGGGTACCAGTGTTTTCAGTGTTCAGGAATTGATGCTTTTACCTATAACTCTGTGTTAACTAATATTTGCGAGGTTACTTCGATTCCGCTCCATTTACTAGCGCAGTGGTCGTAAAAAGAATAATAGTTACTCACGGAAAGTGAAGTTGGTGGGCTTGACGATCCTCGGGCATACTCTGAAGAGGCCCAGCTTGAACCTCACGCTGACGACGTTGGCGAAATTTCTAGGTAGATTCGACAGGGCGAGCTTCTCCTCGGTGTGGAGCCAGGTAGGGCCCAGAAGGGCGGTGCTGAGGGCCGCCAACGCGGCGAGCCCGCACACCACGCCGCACCTAGTCAGCCTGATTCCACCTGGGCCACCTGAGCAGCACATTTTCGTCTCCCAAGTGGTCCTCAGGGTGACATCGTTAGCGAATCACCTGCTCGATGTGAACAATGATCCTCGATTCATTCTTTTATTCCTTTGCATATTTAAGATCTTCCGGTTGTCTTCTTTTGACTTTCGCTCAGTGTCCTCGTTCCTGTGTAGCGCGGGGGTCTTATTCAATGTTCTCCGGAGCAAGGAATTTCCCGGCAAAATACAGTTTTTCGGATGTGCTCCGTCGTAACATTCGCGACACGATCTGGTCTTTCGTGGAATTTCCGATAATCTTTATCTCGTTGTTTCCCTTCTATTTTCAACTTGACGCATTCAGGCTCCCAAAGGTCGCAACTCTTTTCCCTCGGCTCTACGGGCTCTTTGACAAAACCAGAATGAGTTTTCCCTCAAGGAGACCTCTGCTCCGTGAACCAGACCGGAAATTATTATTTTATCGTTAATATCTTTAATTCCTGACATAAAAACGTGCCGGGAAGGGAATGCGATGTATTTGCCGCGTCAAAGAACGGAGCCGAGCTGGCTTCTCGTACACGCGCGACTGGGATACTCGCGAGAGGGATGCTACGGCGATGCAAAAAAACGCTGAATTCTTCAGAAGAGGGTGGCCGTTAATGGATTTCTCGTTATGTGGAGAAACCATTAAAACGTTTGCTCGTTCTCGAAGAAATTAATTCCGATTGCCGTTATCGCGGCCGGCTTGAAAAGAAGCCAGAGAACGACGGGGTGGGAGGGACGGAAAGGTGGGCCGCCATTATCGCGCCACCGCATTTTCCGCGTCGGAAGTGGATGGCAGTGAGAGCCTCCGGCTTTTCCGATGATTCTCTTCCCCGTGAAGGGGTGAAAAGCGAGCATCGCGTTCTCGCATGCGAGTAAAAAATCCAACCGGAGGGTGAGTGCTTGCGGAGGGGAAATGCTTAAGAAATTTGAATACCTGAGAAGCATCGATACTTCACTCTCAATACTGATGAGGTAATCTCAATTCATCAACACGAATGAAACTTTGCGGATCCATCGAGTAAATCGGGACTCGACTACAAGACTCCGCGCTTCGTGCGTCATCGCCGACCTGGCCGAAAAAGCGCGGAAAAATGTCAGGAACGTTTCTTGATTTCAGGCCAGCAGAAATCGCCCGCCGTCTACGCGAAATAATAGCGACAATTACTTCTTGCCTCACTCGAGCGAACGGTGAAACGCGGGAAGAGGGGAGAGGGGAGATGATAAAAAAAAAGTCAGGTGTGTCGTTTCACGGCGGGAAACGTATGTGTCTATATCGACGTGCGTAATACACGACCGTAAAACACGCTCGCGCCCGCGCGCGATTTATATCCGTGCTGCAGATGGCAGTTGCAATTACAGCATCATTCTTTCAAGCCGGTCTAATTAATTGAAAAACGGCGTACAGCCGCGACGGCAGTTGCGAAGGGTCCTCGAAAGATTTCCGGTCTTGTTAGGAAGCAGTTTCGAGTGCTGCTTAAGTCTGTTCCGCCTCTTTTTCTCTTCGGCGAAGACCCACCGCCGCACCTCGCCTCACCTCCTAAGTATCACGTAATTAAAAGTTCGAATCGACCGCGATTCACGCCTGAGGGAAACCTTCGACCATCCCTCCGACACTTTCCGTACTACGTAATACGAGGGATGAGAATGAATGTGTATGTGTGAGATAGAGAGAGAGTGAGAGAAAGAGGGGAAGGGAGCTTCCTCACTGTGTGCATCTTTCTTTTACCTCCTTTTCGTCCTTTTGTAATTACTCTTTCTTGAGAACTTTGGTGTGGTCGAGAGTCCAGAAATTCCACAACGGGATTTCTGTTCTCTCGTGGCTGGGAAGTAATAGAGAAAAGGGGAGGTTCTGGTGATTCGAGAACTCTTTGTCGACCTCGTCCGTTCTCGGTGCAAACGTAGATGCAACAAACATTCTGATTAGTGTCGCCTCGGTGTAATTCTTCTTCGGGGGAATCTAGCGCAAATAACTAATCTTTGGTGCAACTCGACAGAATAATTTAACTTTTCAAACTGGCAGAAAGAGAGAGAGAGAGAGAGAGAGAGAAACGGTGGAGAATACTCTCTATAAATTTCCCCAGCAGGTAATTTCTAATTACTAAATTATTACACTAAACAATAAATAATATTAGGTTGTAAACAGTTAGCGCTTTGTCAGCGTGTAATATTATATCGTAACAACATTAAAATTTAATACTATTATGTAACAACGTAATAGGACAATGCGCTGTGCACCCGCGGTACGGACGTTACACGTAAATGTACTCGTTAAATCGAGATTGTTGCATTAATGTTTCAATATTACCATCGTATTACTGCCATTGTGTGGATGTGGGAACAAAATCAACGATGGCATCACGGGCGTGAGGACGTCCGGCAACAATACTGAGGACGATTGATTGCATTCTTCTGGGTCCACGACCCGGAATTGTTAAAAAACGCTCGAATGTATTGTCCACCGCGTCATCATCGTCGAGGGTGGAGGGCAGGAGAAGGGAGGAATGGGAGAGGGGTGGGGAGGGGGAAGAGTTGGTTGAAAACGAATTACATCGACACTTCCAACCCCGATCAGGCTGTGTCAGGCCGGCCTGTTTTGCTGCGGACGCATTCCGGTGTCGGAATATCCGGTCGAGCCAGAGACGATGCGGCGATCATCGATAAAAATGGCTGTCTCGTCGCGGAACCGACGAACAAAACGGCCGTATGTGCGAGCGAGCGTCCGTCCATCCGTCCGTTCGTCCGTCCGTCTGTTTTTCCCCGTTCCAGCGCGATTCAGAGGGCGAGTCGCGCGCCGGACGTTCCTGTGGCCCGACGTTGCGCTGAGCTTTTCAGGACTGCGGTGGTCCGGAATTCCCCGCGCGCGCACGGAAGATGGATAGACGGATAAGCAGGGGTGAATACTTCGGGAGCGAGAATTCGAGCGAGTACCCAAAATCGTACCACCACCGGTGTTCAAATTCAAACTCAACCGACTCGAGCCTCCGGCTGTCTGCAAGGCGACCAGTGGCGTATAATGAGTCCTCGTCGCCCTGCGTCAGTTCTTCCGATCTCATCCTTTACAAATTGAGCCCGGGGGGTCATTATAAAATTATTACAGACCCTTGAAAGAAGCCCATTTGTTGCGACCATGTTGAGACAATTAATTGTCTCACTGAATGCCTTTTGGGATTGTAAAAATGCTTGTGCTGGGCACCTTTGCGCAGCAACCAATTATTCGTTAGATGGACGAAGCCTAACGTATTATTTGACGTAAGGATTGGTTTAAGGAGAGAACTATCTGCATAATTATGATATAAGGAAATAATTATGTAAGAAAAGAAATCAAATCAAAGCATCACTCTTTTCTTGATGCTTGATCGCGAAAGGAGTTAGTTCAGCCTGCACAGCGGTGCAATCCAATAAAAGGACGTTGATCGAACAGCAGCGCGAGTCAGATATTGCGAAGGAAGAATTCTGGTAGGAATCCGTGCGTGTCATTCGGACTGTTATCTTTAATCGCGAAATTCGTAGCACGGCGAACCGTGGACGAGATTGAAGTTATCCCGTAGGAATCGGTCGATATCCGTGCCCATCCGCCGTATTCGGCCTGCGAATCGCGTCATTTAGTTGGCCAATAAGTTGTCCGGTAAATGTCGCCGGACATTACATCGGGCCGCTCTCACTTACACGACGCAACGAACATGTAATCTGCCTCCGATATATGGGGTGATATTATAAGAGGAAATTAGACAACTGTGCGCCACACCCTGTATAACTATCATTAACGAACGATAGCGGGCACGTAGCCATGCTAATTAAGCTCGATCCGGAACACGGCTCGGTTTCAGCGGAACGAGTCACCGTAAAATCGTGCGAGGACGAGTGCGCCGGCGCGACGATTTTCACGGTTTCCGCGTCGCGACGAGCGATTTCCGCGTCCGCGAGCTCTAATCAAACCCGACGCGACGCAGCGGCGGAAAAAAGGGCGTTCGTTAAAATCTCGACGCGCTCGGGATCCGCGCCAATCTCGGATCGCCAAGAGCCACCGTAATTTCGGTGTCGTCTCGCGGATTTCCCGAGCCGCCCACGGGAAATTACAAATTACGCGTTTTTCAATCAAAAAAACGGCGAGTCGCGCCCACCGGGGAATGCTGGCACGACGTGAAAATTTCGCATCAACGGTACGTCCTCGATCGCAATCGGAAAATCCAAAGAGAGAGATAGAGCGAGAGAGAATGAAAGAGAAAGAGAGAGAGAGAGAGAGGGGGGGAGGGAGGGAGGGAAGAATGAGAGAGAGAATGCAATTTAAAACGATTGCGTCGCGCGGAAAAATATTTGCCTCGCGCAAAACAATTCCCGTTGCGCGAGAAAATATTTACCTTGCATTAGAACGATTTCGCGGTGGACGAATGTTTTAGCGTTTTCGAGAGGGATCGAGTTGCACGCAGTTTTTAAACGCGAGCCAGGATATTTTACGCGTAATGTAAATTTTGTTGCGCGTAACAAATATATCTCTCTACGCATACAGTGCGCGTGGATTTTTTGCAGTGCATATTTGTATAGAGAAAAAAGGAGAGAGGGAAGGGTGCGTTTGTATCATGTAAACACCGCCACTTATTTCAACGTACATAATTTTAGTCCCGCGACGAGTGTTATTTCACTTTCCAATTTGCCTTCAATTTTGAATCAATTTTAAACACGGTGCGATTAGCGGAGGGGAATGAAGCATCACGCGCGCCATTATAAGCGGCTGAAAGAAAAAGAGAAAATATTTGATGTCTAATGTACAACTGGCGAAAAAACCCCGGGAAATTCGCTGTTGCTGAGCGCGTTTCCGCAATTCAGGCCACCCCGTACATGTCTCTTCGAAGTCATTACCGACGTGTCAGTGTCAGACGACCATCCCTCCAACCCCCTGAGCGGAAAAAGCGGAGGGCGCCATGCGCGATATTTTTCTACTGTCACGAGCGACCGCTCGTCCCAAATCCTGGACAGGACCATAGGGTCCTGGCGAACAGTGCTGCGGATTAGGGTGTGTTCCGACCACGAGATTATGCGGGAGAATCCGAGGTTCCCAATGTGTCCGGGCCTAAGGATGTCAACGTCGCGCTGGTGACGCGGATAAACGTACTCGCTCTTTCACGGCACGAATTTAATTTAATTATCGTATTAAGAAAGATCTCCCCAAAAATGTGAATATCTCAGAAACTAAAATGCAAATGCGCGAGGACTCAATAATTCCAAGGTGAAAACGCTCGGATATCCCAAGAATATTCCAGAATGGCGCGAACTTTGATTGATAGATTTGAATAAGCAAAGTATTTAAATTCAAAGTTTCCATCATGAAAGAACGAAGAATCTTTGGAAGAAAGATTCGAAAGCATGAAAAACAACCGAGCTATCGTGTGGGATTAAGTATCACGGCAGAAGAGCTACGAGTTTCAGGAAGACCCAAAGACGCAGAGCTGCGAGTACTCGGCAAATATTTGAGGGAAACGACCGAACGCAAAGTCGCAGGATCAAGCGACGCTTAAAGGGAATGAATCAAATACGCAAAGTCTCCCCAAAAGCGTTCCCCCCAGTCTCAAATACGGAGAGTGAGAAGTACAAAAATCGGAATGAATGTCGACGGCAGTCCGTCGCATCGAAGCACGAAAGATTGGCCTGCGATACGTTTTCCGAAGCTTCGCGCTTCAACTTCGCGCTCCTGGCACTAATGACTCGTGTTAACAAGCGGATTATCCTCGGCGATCCATCTGACTGGAAGCGATTCCGCAAATTACTATGATACGAAATTACTGGGATATGGAGCCAATCGCGTCGCTACCGCGGACGCCGTGGCTAATGAAGGATATAAGGATTAGGAATTTAGAAATTCGAATTTCCACTCTCGAAGAGACTCCACGCATTGACAGCTCAGACATTACCGTCCCGGTGTGTCAACAGCATTAATAATCCACGTTTGCGATCGAATTATCTCGGGATGACGGCCTCTCTCTGTCTCTCTCTCTCTCTTTCCCTCCTCTCTCTCTCACTCTCTCTTTCTTTCTCTTGCTCGTTCGCTCAATTAAGAATCAGAGATTGGCCTTTCTGCGAATGATCCGTGCAAATTAAAAAATGGGGTGCTCCGGCAACACGAAACCCACCTCCGAGACCGCGACGCAAGGGCGTCTCAATTCGCGCAGAGTTGTCCGCACTCCTTCGGCATTAATAACATCGGCGATCCATGTTACTTGTTATCCTTAACGACGGTCGAGTGCGCGTTCACTGAAGTGATTACAAGCGAAATTATCCGGCTATCGTCGCGAGGCGATCATGTCGCTGTTTGCGGGCGATACGCGCGCGTCCTGCACGTGTCCTCCTCCCGAGCACACGACGAGAAAAGTTGCCGGCCCTCGGAGAGCCATCGGGTCGCACGAGAATCATCCGATGATCAGCCGCAGTCGCGGAACACGACGGCGTCGACGCGCGGACTACCCCGAGAGAGCCGCTGTGTTCGATCCGCTCGACGGCTGGTGGCGTACTGGCCCTTCGTAAACGCACGCCTCCACCGAACGACGGTGGGTGAACGTCGCGACGGCAGCGGAAGAGGGCGGAAGCGGCGCCGGGAGGGTGGGTGCGATGCCAAGAGGGTGAGCGTCTCGCTTGGCGACCGCATCATCGTCGCGATTTTTGACGCGGACACGATTTTACGGACCTCGCAACGCAACGAGAAATGAAGGAGCAAGCGTCCAGGACGCGGCTTCGAAATTTCTGCGGTTTTTTCACACACATGACAGCTGCGAAATTTCACGGAGACATGAATTTTTTATATATCGCGCTTCCATTGTGGCAGCACGGAGTAAACCGTCGAAATTATTTCAAGCGCTGCTGAAACAGTAACAGCGATACACTGGCACAACAAACACCACAGACGGAATATATTTAGAATGATAATTCGGAATCACAAGGGGATGGAGGGTTTAGAATTTCGAGACAAGAGAGCTCAAAGCTGAAAATTGCAAATTGAAAAGCGAGTCGGTCGGGAGAGAGAGAGAGAGAAAGAGAGAGAGAGAGAGAGAGAGAGAGAGAGAGAGAGAGAGAGAGA